TTTTCCTTTCATTCCCCAGCCACCGTGCACAGTCCTCTGTGCAGTCCCTGGCTAGCAGGGTGATTTTTAGGTTAATTCTTAGGTCCTACCACCACTCAGGAATCTCCAAGCTGTCTGTGCTGTCAGGATCGCTCAGAATCACTGCCAAACCGCAGGTCCATATGTCTCCTTTTTTGGTATTTTCACGCACATTCTTCTGCTAGTTGGGGTTTAGTCCACTTCTACATCCTTCCCTTCAGGGTTTAGGGGTCCAGGATTATCTTCTGTGCCTGTGTTAATTGGTTTCCCTTTTCTTTGTTGAAGAGGGTCTGTGCAGTCTTTCTGCCTAGTTCACCATCTTGCTGGAGAACTAGTAATACTATTTTTGAGGCTTAAAGGTGCTTTATAATTACTAGTTTGTATACATTTTCATGCCATTTGATTCCGTGAACTTTTATCTCCATTTCCTTCTCCCTATGTGTTTTCTAAGGTACTGGAATGTGGAGAAGAAAAAATCCTTACTTTGACAGAGGTAGAAAGGTTCAAAGCTCTCGCTGCCCAATTTGTTAAACTCCTTCGGTCCCAAAAGGATAACTGCCTTATGATGACAGATCTACTCACAGAATATGGTAAAACTTTTGGCTACACATTTCGTCTGCAAGACTATGATGTCAGCTCAGTTTTGGCTTTAACTCAGAAACTCTGTCATGTTGTGAAGGTAAAGAGGTTTTTTTTTTTTTTTTATGTGGAATAAAACTGACATAGGCATAATCCTTACTGGGGTGTTTATGTGTGCTGTAGCATTTCTACATTTACTCCTTTGTACTACTTACTGTTGTTTGACAACTTGCTTTGCATGACGTTATTAGTACTTATTAGGTAATAGAACATGACTTAAGTTTAACAGTTTACCATTCTGTTCTCACTTTTGTGTGTCTTTAGGCAGCCTTGCTAAAGTAGTGCTGTTTTGAACTGAACTGATGAGGTCACTTCATCTAAGTATTTGCTCTCAATTGCTTCATTCTCAGCACTGCTGGCCTGCAGTTGGGTCCTTTCAAACAGATCTTTGTCTTGTAAATTTGTAGGTATTTTGGTAATCACAGATCTCTTCTCTCCAGATTCTGACTCACTTAAGAAGTGTATTTTAGAGCAAGCTAGAGCTTGGAATTGCCTTTTTTTGCTGGTAAAGCTTCCCCATTGTGGACTGAAGTGACCCTCCTGTTATAGGCAGAGCAGCTGGATAAGTTTCAGACCTCCACCGGACCAGGAAATTTCACTACAAAGAGGAAATAGTAAAACATAAAGTGGTAGCACCCCTATCAGCTTTGGAAGCAAACCAGTTACATTATGGTCATAGGAGAAAGACCCTTCCTAGGAGACAGAGAAGGAGCTGCCAGAGAGTAGGATGTACACTAGGAGGGTGTTAATGTCTCAGAAACCCAGGAGCAAAGGGGTCAGCAGTGTCACATGCTACTGAGAGAGCAAGTGAGATACAGACTGACTTGAGCTTTGACTTTAGCTAAGTGGAGCTAACTGGCCAAAGACTTTGAGGAGTAAGGAATGACTAGGGAGTTGGTTGTGAGCAACAACAATGGGAAATATTTCCTTCCTTCTGGCTGCACACCAGAATCTTTCTGGGAAACATTGATGCCCAGACTTCAGCTCTGCCTCCAAGATTCTTATGTAGTTAGTCTGAATGTGCTCTGAGAAGTGGCATTTTTTAGAAATTGCCCTGGTGCTTTAATGTGCAGGCAGGGTTGAGAATCAAGAGGTATTGCTAAGTAGCAACAAAGGAGCAGGTTTTTGTGTTTTCTTCTTAAAAGACTGGAGTAATAGTGATGGTCTGGGCATCTAAGAAGGTGATTTGCATTCCCCTGGACTTTTATCTATTGGTTGATTAAACTCCACTTCTGAAGAGGAAGTCTATAGTCTGGATCTCCACAAATCCACAACCATGATAAGTTTGTGGTAGAGGGAGGGGAAGGAAGAGGGAAGTAGGTGGAGGGGGAATCTACCTACACAGTCTCTGCATAAGTCCTACCTTAGCACTGGATGACTTTTAGAACCAGATAAAGATTCACTGAACATGTGTTGGCTCCTTAAGTGCCACCCACCTCTGCCTGCCTCTGAGAATCCAAAGCCCCATATTCCAAGTTAATGATTACCTACCTCTTCCTGTGGGCCTTGAGAACTTTGGTCCTGGCTGAAAAACCAGGAAAAAATAGACTAAGTAGCAAACATTTCTTTGACTTACCAGTGCCTGAGAAGCATGAGTACTGAAGGCCTACCTCTTCAGTGCTAGGAAAGGCTCAATTCATGGATTCGTCCCCTCCTCCCCAGGGCTTATAGTAATTGCTCTGCTGGCCTGTCACTAGATACTTGTTTCTCAGATGCTATTTGTTCCCCAAATGATAACCAATGTCTTTTTGTAAGGGTTCCCTCTCAGTGCACTTTATCTCTGTTTGAGAATCTGAGACAACTAAGGAGTAAACATGTAATCAGATAGCAAAATCCCAGTTTGGGGCTGGTATTGATGGACTAGAAAAATGCAGCTTGCCTTGTAGACCCCGAGTGGGTCTTCTACACCATCACCCCAGTTTGGACCTTGGGCAAGGTGGGTCTGGGGAGCAGTGATATAGAGGGTGTTGACCTGCAACACACCCTGTACCCACTTGAGCACAGCAGCCCTCAGCTCCTGAGTTGAGCTTGGGCCAGTGGATGTCAGCTGTCCATTGTCTGTTATTTCTTTCCTATTTTGAGGCGAACGAAGGAAGGAAAGAACGAAAAAATAAAGAGGATGATAGCAGTTTCTTCCACCACTATTGCCTTAAGAGAGAGGGAAGTATTAACGGAAGTTTCTGGTTTATGAGCCAAGAGGGAAAGAACAGTTTCTCCCCCAGTCTTATCTGAAGGATTGGTCTGATGTCCCAAAGAACCTAAAAGCAAGCCCACTCACTTACTTCAGATTAAGAGAAAGAATTAGAGATTTTCTCTTTATTGGCCTCGTTAAACAAAATGAGAATAGCTGAGCTGGGTATGACCTAGGTGGTTTCTCTTGGGTTCTGAAAAGTTTAAAATTCTTATTTTCCACAGGTTGCTGATACAGAATCTGGCAAACAGCTTCAGCTGATCAACCGAAAGTCTCTACGATCTCTCACTGCCCAGTTGCTGGTATTGTTGATGTCTTGGGAAGGTACAACCTTTATTTCTGTTGATGAGCTAAAGAGACATTATGAAACCACCCACAGTACTCCTCTCAACCCCTGTGAATATGGATTTATGACCTTGACCGAACTTCTAAAGAGTCTACCTTACTTAGTTGAGGTATGTGTGCTAATAGTTTTCTGGAACCACCATCATGGGAACTGCCAAATTGGCTATTTCTAAAAATTAGAATGTGTAGAGCTAGAAGGGACCTAGAGATCATTGAAACCAAGTGGCCGTTTTATTGACGGATAGATGGAGGCATAGGGAGGTGAAGGAACCCTGAACAATTGAATGACAAAGGCAAGACTAAAGTTCTGCTTGCCTGATGGACTCTGAGGTGTTTTTGTCCCATACCAGGGTAGATTTTGCTATCCTTGTATCTTTTAGATGACTTATGTGGTAGGGTTTTTTTCCCCCCTCTTTTGTTGTGTTTTAAAGAATGTTGATGTCATTGTCCTCTATTACAGTATTCCTTTGAAAATCAGTTTGGGAGATGAGGTTTAATTGCCTCGCTTGACTTTTATGTTTTCACTCTCAGCTAAAGATCCTCACTTCTGAGAGGGGCAGGAAGTCACTCACAGAGTTTCTCATCTTGCTTTTCCTTTTGGACTAGGTTTTCACTAATGATAAGACAGAGGAATGTGTGAAGCTTACAAGTCTGTATTTGTTTGCAAAGAATGTGCGGTCTTTACTTCATACTTACCACTACCAGCAGATTTTTCTCCATGAATTTTCTGTGGCCTATACCAAGTATGTTGGAGAAACACTGCAACCCAAGTCATATGGCTACAATAGTGTAGAGGAGCTCTTGGGAGCAATCCCTCAGGTGGGTGTTTTTCTGTGCTTCCTGGGATATATCCCCTTATAGAGTCCCCAGCTAAATTTGCTGGAGTAATGAAATGGAATAATAATAATTAAAATAACAGTAATAACATGGTAAGCTCAAAACCTACTGTTGGCATAAAAAAAATGATTTTCACTTTTCTCACTCATTCTGCAAACCATTGTTAAACTCCTGTGTGCCAGGTGAGTAAGTCACAGACCCTGCCTTTAGAAAAATGTCAGGTGATAGGAGAGTCAGGACACAGAAGGTGGTCACAGTCAAGGTGGTCAGTGAGCACCAGTAGCGAGGAACCCTCTAATCAGTGGGTATGTTGAGATGAGGTAGGACATGGGCCATTCCTCAGCAGTAAAAGATGTGTAGAGGTCAACCATATGATGAACAAGGGAATGGGCACCCCAGGCAGCAAGGACAGTGTGAACAAATGCAGAGCAGTGAGAAGTAGCATTGAGTATTTGGGAATTAGGAACCATGCTAGAGCCCACCAGTAGTGTATGAGTTAAACTGTGGAGGACCTTGCTCCTCCAGGTGAGGAGTGAAGACTGCATTGGAGAGAGCGGGAGGACGTCTTAGGTTTGTATTTTAAAAGGACCACATTGCTTACTGTACACAGTAGAGTTGAGAGAAATGGGCATGAAGGAAGGAGCTAGGTTAGGACCGCAGTCATTGCAGAGGTCCAGGTAAAGGTTATGAAGGGACTGACAGTGAAAACAGTAGTTGTAGGAAGTTGTTGTTGTT